CCTCGTAAGTGAAGTGCAACAAACAAATCAAATACCAGACGGAGGGAATTATTCAACCGTGCTTAAAATGTCACTGCCGGAACACTACTTTCCCACTTGGGTGAAATCCTAGGCCGTTTTCGAGTACTCAGCTTCAGCTGCATCTCAGGCTTCAAGTGTTTTTTTAATAACTGACTTTCAAGCTGTGAGCACAGTAATTAGTCTAATAGTGCCACAAAACATCAAATAAGATGCAAGAGAGCAAAACTGACAGAAATCCAATTTGATTTAAACACTTCAGGCCCACAATCGGGGATTGGTTTCGGGGACAAAGCCTGAGACGGAGACGAAGTTGAGTATTGGAAAACGGCCCTAATGTCATTTTCAATGGGAGTTACCTATCAGTGAGACTGTGCTGTGGACTGTGCAAGTGTTGTTGTGCCAATCTTTCCAAGGCACATCCTTTTATGTGTGTTTTTGTGTTCTTGCTGGTTACATTTTGTTTAATGCACTTGGAGTTAGCGTGCATTGGTTAATTGCAGTAAGCTAGCCACAATGCTTTGTAACATCTGTGCTTCCTTCCTTGACATTTTTGTGAAAAAAGCTTATCAGTTACAAGCTTCCTTGCATTGAGAGACAGATTCCTGGAAACCTTTACAAAAGAACCAAATACAAGGCACTTTGTTCATGAAGTAAATTCACATCTAACTCTAGTTGTAAATAGAAGAATTTGACAAGAACAACTCACCGGAATTTAAGTTGAAATTATGCCTTTTGAGCTTTCAATTTAAATTAATTACTGTATCATTTATATTTTACTAGAAGCTCAGAGCCGCTATCGCAATGAAAACCTCGAAAGAAAAAAGGTGCAGACTTCGTGCACAGCAGCCATCTTAGACGGTATTTTCTTTGCTATTTTTAAATCTGTACCTTTGAATGCCCCAAAGTAGCAGATCAAAGGCCTTAATCGCCCTCAAGATGGTTACTGTGTCACATACTGTGTTATTTATACAGTGTCGAATGGTGTGCATTTATGTGTATATGTACATATGGGATTGCAAGTGCCAGTAGCAAATGGATTTTAAGGACTTGAACTGTAAACACTTTGCTTGAGGGAGATTCTGTCGTAATGCATGTCTTCCACGAGAAGCTGATATCGAGTATTCTAGTTTCAGTTTGGTCATTGTAAACGTGTAGATGTAGCACACGCCGTGTTTATATGGACCGATGCAACTTAATCATGCTTTCATCCAGGAACTCTGTGACCTTTAACGATGAAAACATCCGCTGCATGCATTGCGACAAGTCAACTGTGTTCTCACCAAAGGTCGTATTGGCGGCGCTATACGATCTTTGGTTTTCACCTCGCTGTGACCTTGGGTTGCGAAAGCTCCCGGATGAATGCATAAAGTTGCGTCCGTCCATATAGTACCGAAGCTTGACGTAATTTGAATCAGGACGTGAAAAGTACAAACAAATGGTGTAAGCGTGCGCGTTGGTTCACGTGCTGGTTGAGCCTGGTTCTTGCGCTAAGGCCTTTTACACAGTTAATTGTGCACGTGATGGATTCACTTTGATACTCTATGCAGATTATGACATGGGATGGATTTTCACACTATGTGTATTCTTGTCTCTTGTAATGGAAGCAGTAGGCTATTATAAACATAGGACCTAAACTCTAGTGTTATTTCTAATTTGGAAGTGTCCATTTACTTCTCCTATTAGTTGGTAGTATCAGGTAATGCTATGTCTTACTCTGGTAACAGACTGACAGCATTGCAACCTCTGTTTGAGGGGTTTAATGTGGAATACAAACTCATCGAAGATGGCAAATGAAGGAAATTATACTTGAAATATATTAGGGCCTCGCTATCTGTTAATGTTGGTTGTTTTCCACCATCACTTGCCTTCACAGTTTTGCAAAAAATGATTAATTTTTGTGAAAATGGCATTTGTACAGAATTGGTCAGATGAAGGCTACCCGTGGGATTTCATTGTCGGGATTTTAAAATTTAATTGCTGAGGAAAAGTCGTCTCTTGTGTATAACTTGATTGATTATTATTGATATTTACATTGCAAAACGGAAATAAATATCGGAAAAAAAACAAACGAATTGACTTCAGATAATCATAATTTGTCCCGGATACGGCACTTTGGCCGTTCTCAAAACATTTTTATATCCTTCCCACTGGTGTTATCGAGCTGGGACTCTAATACCGGCGTTTCACAATAGTACGCCTCCAAGAGTTTACAAAGCGTTGGCCAATCACAACGCGCTAAATCTGTTTGCAGGTTGGGTCGGCAGATTTCGCGCATTGTGATTGGCCAACATGTTGTAAACTCTTGGAGGCGCACTATTGTGAAACGCCCCAATTCAACATTGTTGAAACAGACCAGTGCACTAGTGACATCTAGAGGTTATAGCCGCATTTGGCTGCTGGAACATATTAATACTGTTTTAGTGCAGAGGTAAGAGTAATTTCATGAAGTGACAGGCCGAATGGAACATTCAGTCTGTTGAAATGAATCTTGCCATATAGTTAAAGGACGAGAAACATTTGGTTTTATGCAACACCTTAATAAATGCCTTTTTTGAACGAGTCACTGTTTTCCATTCTCAGTCTGGCACGACAATTAAACGCGAAGTCATATCAGTCTGAATTTGGATGATCAGTTTATGTTTCAGCACAAAGGTACAGAACTGTCTTCATGAAGGAAGACTTTGCTTCGGTTTGGGGGCAATTTTACGCCTTTTTGAGGGTGTGTGTAGAGAGCTGAGCTGCGTTAAAGTGCACGCTCTAATCTGCTGGACAACGGCCTACATAGTTCTTTAATTGCTGCAAAAATCCTCATAATCTGATTGGTGGATCGTTGCTCTCATGTCATTGAATTGTTCGTTCTGTTCAACAGTAGCCGCTGAATAGAAATTCAGTTCACTTGACTGGTTCCCGCCCTCAATATATTTCACTCCCTTTTTTTGCACCAGTTCTGTCAGACGTGTTTTTTGGTATGATTCGATTCCAGTGCAAATGAGAGAGGACATCCAGATTGGTTGCATGTTTATATAAAACTCTGTGTGTGTTCACCGGTGTTAGAGGTGTAATGAAGGCCAGAAGCCACTGGACCAGAGGACAGGCCTTTTTTTTCTTCAGACGTGTTAGAAACTCACAAAAGTGGCGATGTTACAATATTCCCAAGCAAGTTGATACATGCTTTTTATTGGAAACTAAGCTCAGAACTTGCCAATCAAAAGAACCATCTAATTCTAGCTTATCTGATGCTGCATCTGCAGTTTTTTCTCACAATGACAAGAACAGCTGTCACCAGTTGGAGACTACAAACTCAAACTAACTAGATGCACAAGGAAATTATTCAAAGGTCTTAGTGTCAGATACTTGACCGACAGTGGAGTCGATGCTGAAATTATTGAACTTTATTTTTGATTTTCTTGTCACAAATTATTAACATCAAATTACAGATGGTTTGGGCACCGAGTACGAATTGTTTCGTGTTGCTAATGAGTGATGAGAGTGAAAACTACCACTTGGCGGAAGAGGCCTACTCGGGAATGGCCGCTAAGTTGATGTTGTGATAGTTGACACACTCTGTGAACAACAGATGGTTTCTGCAGACTCCCTGCGTATGACGTCACGTTAGAGGGCATTGCATTCGTTGTAATTGAATTAAAAAAACAAAGCATAGAATCGTCTCTGACTCCGCCTTAACGCAAAAGGGTCCATTGCAGAAAAACAGGACGATAAAAATTGTACCATGAATATTCCGTGCAGAATGGTGTTCACGTCGTACATTTCAGAAAAGTAACTTCCCAGATGGGTTTACATGGGTCCACAAGGACACCAGCCTACTGTTACCAAGGAATGTTATTTTCTAAAGTTATTTAGCTATATTTTCTTTAGTGAGGTATACCCCCTTCCAATGGTAATTAAACGGTAATTAATGGTAATTAAATGTACACTAAAGTGGTTTGGTATTAATTTAAAGGAAGCCAGTGTTGGCTGGTCAATTATTGCATAATAATTATAAGCTATCAAAACTAAACAAAAGAACACTGCATAGTGCCTCGCACTATTAGAGAAAACTTCTGAATGATTAAATTTGAATATTCAACAGTATTAGACAGAGTTATGTGTATATTGTCGCCGACACCGCGGACTTATATTCGGTCGTGCGCGAGGTGATATGGTGATATTATTAAGAGAACCGAGCTATTTTCGTTTTCACGATTGGGGAACCCAGTACACTGCAGCACTGCAACCGCGCACACCGTGCATTTTCGTTTTCACGAATTGACACCTATCATAAATCCACCAGTTAAAACAAATTTTGTTGAAATTTGGGGGTAAGGCAGCAAGTATATTGATGCATTAAATTCATGCCAAACTTTCAAAGCATTCGTCTAGTTAGCTTCAGTGTCCGATGTCAGCGCGCACTGCTGGATGCCAGTTCGTGAAACCGAAATTGTTGATGGTGGAGTTTTCACGAACTGACACCCACTTGCAACCGAGTGTCAGTTCTTGGTTTCGGTGACGGTAACTGAGTTAAATTAAATAAAAGCAAACATGGTGTAAGACCTTTTGTGAATACGAAGTCTTGAACAAAAGGCTATTTGAGCCTAACTGAACGTCAATGGCCTTATTCATACTACGCGACACGATACAAGACCACTTAAAAACTGCTCTTTTCGTTAACGATGTTAGTGGTTATTGTACTTGTTTGCTTCCCTCTTATGCCTCCATCTACCTTTAAGTTCCCCAAGGACTGTTCTGACTCCTTCGCTGGCGGTACCGCTACCAGCGGCGGTCTGTACTTGATTAAACCAACTGATAATAGAGGTCCATTCCGTGTGTACTGTGATATTAGTGTTCTTTCGTTTTACACCGTTAGTATGTGCGTTAGACCGCTGACGATCATTATCCAATGAAAATTCAGGAAATAAAATAGAGACCTCTTATTCATAACGTGTCCAGTCATGTACGCGCGTTACGACTGATCAAGTGTAAATATTAACGAAGTGGAATGTTGAATATTTAATGAACTTTCACAGAACTGAGAAAGTTCTGAACCCAGCATGAAAAATGAGTGTACATTTTAGTCGCTTAGAAGTGCACACAGTCTTGGGCATTTTCAAGTCGCGGCCTTGACTAACGGCCCAGAGTGTTCCGTGCAGCTTCAGTGTTAGGGCATGAAGCATGCAAGGAACGCAGAGGGAGCTAAGTAATGGCGTCATTGAGGTCATTGTTCGTCTAAACAATGACGTGAACCTGTGCGGGATATTTAAGAGGTAAGGTGAGAGCACGCGGCCTGACAAATCATCGTTGAAGATTGCAGCTCACAGTGGCGTGATTTCAGTGTAGGCCTTTTTAGCATTTTCATTCATTAAGCTTTGCTGGCGTTGGCCAGGATGAGGAACTGACCTTCCTTTGGAATTCGTTCGGTATTTTGTTCCGGGTGTTTGTGTGAAACTGCACTTTTAGTTTGCTTTTGCCAGCTCCCAGGCTGTGCAATCTTCTTTTCCCTGATTTCCCAGAAAAAATACAAACAAAATCATAAATCTTCACAAAACAAAAGTACTTGGAATCACATATTAGTGACTTTTCCTCTATGCTTTCTTGGGCCCTAGGGAATGTTTCCTCCTGTTATATTAGCCAACCTTTGACACTAAAATGCAAAATATCCCCCTTAAAAAACCACTACGGCTTTGGTCATAATACATTCCTACCCCTTGTAACTGTACGACCAACTGTTTATACATGCAAAGAAACATTATTGTACTTTATTGGTTGTTGAATTTCAAGCAATTTAGAAATCCCTCAAATTTGGCCAGATAAAAGGAGAGGCTCAACTCAAAAGGTTTTAAAAGTTGCCAATTGCAACGTCTGTTTGCCGACATCCCTTTTTTCAAGAGGTGACTTCCTTTTCCTCGCTCAAAATTTTCGAATGCAGAAACCTTAAACCGTCGATGTTCATTGATATTTAGATGCGACCGTTCTCCTCATCATTCCTTTATTAGCGAACCGTCGATTTTTTTTATTGTATTTAGAGACATATAGTACAATATTCAAGAAAAGAATTCAAGATGCTGAAATAAAGTTAATTGATATCAATTTGTTTTGTAGTCTTTACTGTCAAATGTCAAATTAGTTTACAGACTGAATCATTGTGCTTGCCTTGTGCTTGTGCTTAGCATTATGATCAGCTTCCCACTTATGATGAAAAATATTTTGGATAAATGAAATGCCATCTCTTATTCTGATATAGAGCCAATGAAACGGACAGATGTGAACTTGAGAATTGGAGCAGCGCAAAGATCGAGTAATACCAGGATACAAGCTTGTTTTATTCAGTTACAATTTTTAAACAAGTACATTTCAGCAACACACTTCACTATTATCCTCATGTTAGTCGATATGCTCCATACTTGTAAACTAAGCTACAATTTCCTCCGCCAAGCATCAGAAACGTCTAGTTCTAGCTTGTGTTCTCCTGCAACAGCGTTTTGTAAATGGTCTTTACAGCTGCAATGCAACTTGTAGCGATGGCAAACGTTCAAAGGCTCAAAATCTATGACTGGAGAGGTAAAAAATAACTGTCCTGTAGACGCATTTCATATAGACGCTTATAAATACACAATTCAACAACTGAAAAAAACTCATGGCTCCGATGTGAATAAACCTTTTTCCTGTGATGTCACAATCGTACTGGACCGCAATGTGTTGTGATGGTAATGAGTGCATAGTATTGTGATGGTAATCTACTTATTCAAGTATTGTTTACATTTAGCGCAATCCCGTGACGCGGGTGAAAAAGTGTACCGGTCTAGGAAAGGCAGACCTATGTGGTCTGTGGTCTGTATGTAGAAGTGTCGAGAATGCAAGCATTTTCCCTTTAATGCCTTCTGTTCATTTTGAAACCAATTCTATGAGAGTCAACTTCTTTCTAATAATAGATCTGTCAAAAATATTATAGCCAATGCTCACTGTATTCATTTACAAGCATGCACACGAAAGTGATTTGTATGATTCCTGGGAATAAAGTTTGGATTTAAAATTAAAACAGTTCTGGCAAATATTTGCTGGATGCTGAAACAAAAGATGGCTTGTCCCACCCAAAAGCAAAATTGCTCAGTGAGTCATGCAGGGGCATCGTGAGTTACAATAAGCAGTTAAGGAAACTAAAATAAAAAACGAAATGATTTAAGACCAGAATTTCTGAGAGGTTTCATCTGCGGAATTGGTTTCCTTCTGCAGGGGTTGCCCGGACTACTCATACCAATTAAAATCTACAAATGTTTGAAGTATTGACGAACGATTTCAATCAGCTGAACATTGACGTTTAGGACTTGCCTACATATTTTTAAAATTAATTTATAAAAAAGATAGCAAGGTTGTGTTAATTGCTGACCGAAGTTTCTAAAGAGAAAAATGTGGATAAATATATGCCCAGAAAAAAAAAAACGATTGGAATTATAAATGAATTTACGAGATTTCGTCCATCTAGGTTCCTGATACGAACAAGTTGGCCTAAGATTAACTCTTGAGACCTAATTATATGTGATCTTGATTTTCATCTCAGTACGTTTCAGTGAGTAGTAGTACCCTTTAAACCCTTGCCAAACTACGCCCTTGGCGTAGACATCCGTCTCCCCACTGAGGTACAGGCCGTTCAGATTGGAGGAGTGACAGCTTGAGTACCACCAGGCGCCGGAGTAAGCTATAGCACATTCAGAATCGCTGGAGTCGTTGTCGCGGTCTTTGGTGCTGAAGGGATGGTTACTGTGACCAGACAATGAATCACCTGCGGTAAATAGGTTGAATGAGAGTCCGTGCTCATTTGGTAAATATAAACAATAAAGATTCTTTACGTCAAAAATAAAGATAATATCCTTAGTTTGTTGAAAATGCTGATTCTTTTTGTCTTAATAAGGGAATAAGTATGTGCACCGTAGCTTGCAAAGTATCACACCAATAACGCACCAGCCGTTCCTGGTAGCTGGTAGCTGTCCCTCACATCAGCAACATATATTTATTCCAATTCATAAATAACTTTTTAGACAGAGAGTCAAAAGAAGTCGATATATGATGGATTCCCGGCAATTTTGTTCCAGGCTATTACTTTCATTTTTCTGAACACCCCCCTCCATTTTATGCAATTTTCCAAGTGCGTGTTGTCCAATTGGCGGGCATGGTTAGTTGCGTGCACACAGACTCTTGGCCAATCAGAATCGATCTTTCATCCAGGTGCCAGCGCGTTATTATTAGGGAGACTGTCAGAGGTTTTTATGAATCAACGTCGATATATTTGATAGCTGGTTGAGTGATAATACCTCTGCCTACCAAGGTGAATGTATCTTATTTCTGTCTTTCATTTTATTTATTTAAAATTGGTGAGTTGCATTCTGCGTGTTACAAATTCGTTGGTGTTTTGATCAGACACAAAAGATTCTGGAGCCCAAACCACTCTTCACGAAGAGATGGGTACTGTTTAAAGGGCAGAAAACATTTAGTTCACGTGAAGTATTTCTGAATAACAATAAATAAGTAACAATTTCAAAAACATCATAAATTTAATGTTTACTCCATTAATTGTGACCCCAAAATAAATAGAAATGTCCTGCGTTTCCCCGCCCACAAAAAAAAATCCCCGGCCGACTAGGCAAACACTGTCTCAGTTCAAGGTAGAAATTAAAAGACACAGTCTTACCGTATATTTCTTGAACTGAACCACAACAAACGCTACATCAAACACAATGTGGTCTATTGCAAAGCTTGCGATACTTCATGTACTCTGCGCTATGTACATGTACACTGTACGTGCCGTGTTCTAGGGATGACGTCATCCAATCAGCCTAGGAGCGCGAACAACCAAACGGGGATTTTGTGTGGGCAGGGAAACGCGGGGTCTTTGTATTCATTTTGCGGTCACAGTTAATGGGGTAAACATTAAATTTATGATATTTTTGTAAATGATTACGTATTTATTGTAATTTTGAAATGCTTCACCCGAACTAAATGTTTTCTATTTCTGTAACACTTTAATCTTTTCTTTTTCTCCGCATGACAACCTCTTTCTCTGTAGCTTGTGAGATATCACATCAATAACGTACCAGCCGTTCCTGAATATCCTATCGCCGTCAACTGGTAGCTGTCCCTCCCATCAGCAACACGAAACGTGTCGTACTCGGCATACGCAGTGATGTTTTCGAAGTCCTCGAGATCGACGCGCAGTCTGTACTCGCCCTGAGCGGTGAGTCGGTGCAGGTTGTCATTGCCGAGCCAGAATTCACCGTTCAAATCACCGAAGCCCTGGCGGTAGCTCTCCCAGTCGCGGTAGAAGTCAACTATACCATCTTGACGCCGCTGAAACACCTACGATTAGAGCAAGAAAACAGTTTAAAGGCATGTTTTTAGTTGATTGAGATCCTTTGTGAAAAGAGACTTACACGTTATATTCTTTTCCCGTTTAATGAGAAACCTTGATTGACAATTACGTTTATTCATTTTAATAACTATTGTGGCAATCGTGCCGACAGTGACCACGAGTCGTCCTCGGCCGACGTCAGCGGGCGATGTAGTCTAAGGCCGGTCGAAGGAGCAGGTTCGTTTGTGGGCAGTCTACCACCAGGCGTACAGGGCGTTAACTGTCACGAACGCTCTCACACGCGCTTGAGAGAAAGGGAACTCGTAATAAAAGGGATTAGTGACTCAAGAACGGGAGGTTTTGCTGTGTGTTTATTAGGTGCTGTCCCAAATAGGTGATGAGACCTACCCAGGTGAATAGGTGATGAGACCTACCCAGGTGAATAGGTGATGAGACCTACCCAGGTGAATAGGTGATGAGACCTACCCAGGTGAATAGGTGATGAGACCTACCCAGGTGATGATCTCTCCCCGCATGAACTATCTTCCCAACGAGTCAAATTCCGTTTTCCTACTGTAATTTAGTTGTCCAATCCAATCTCCACTCACAGGAATCTAATCCCGGGCTCCTCCCAACAGAGACCAACCAAGCTGTATCACGAAACCCTGAGTGGGAATTTCCTAGCGTCGACAAAACAGAGCGCCCACAGAACAGCACTTGTCCAAGCGCACAAGTCGGATAGCACAATGCAAGAGCAAGTACAAGGGAAGATGGCAAGGGAGGAAGCTGGGTGACCGCAAGTGCGACGCACGCTTATAGACCCTCGCTGGGTACCAACTGACTACACGATTGGCGTGCTGTACAACGCGCAGACCAACCTATGGTGAGCCGTGCGCACAATATTGACTGTGCTGTGACACAGCCACGTGTCCAAAAGTGTAATTCGAACGACGATGGTGGCTTGCCGTCGGGAATTTCCATTTTAAATAAATGAGCGCCTGGTGACATGTCCCCTAAACGATGCTATACCTAGAATAAACCATTGTGTCCATTCCAGTAGAATAATTGAATTTGTTGTGGAATGAAAACAGGTTGTAATCGAAAAAGTCATCTCAAGAGAAGAAGCTAAGTGCTGTTTAATCAAGTGAGCCAAGAGTTTCAAAAACTTGAACTTGCTGATCAGAAATAATTTGGACATCTCACAAAATTATTCCCAAACACGTATTCAGCCACTAATTCCAATAAAAAAAGGATACTGGCCACGAAGAAAATAAATCTTTCAGCCAGAACACCAGTCTGTCACTGATATGACATCAAAGATTTAATTTAACATTTTATCATTCAAATCTTTGTTCAAGTCACCAATACAAGTGGGAATTATGGTGGAGGCCTGGGTCATTAATATCAAGACAAATGATACAAAGTGACAACCTGAAGAGATATTAACGCAATGAAAACACAAACTTGCAAGTGACGTCCCAGAGCAGTCATCGGATACATGTACTGTGAAATGGATGGACGGTGGATTGAATAACAAATCTTACGATGTCTGAATTTCAAAAAATTGGTTGTTCACTTTTTCCACTCCGAGTAAATTCCACCATAATCAGTTCATAATCTTTGTCAGTCTTGGACATTTTATTTTCAATAATTACCTTTAGAATAATACCCCCTCTCCGAGAAATCCCATAAAATGAACATCCTTGACGTGAAATACAAGTTACATGAAAAAGGCCAATCACAGTAAAAGAAATGACACCTGGTGCCCGTCAACAGACGGCTCCGCACGTTTGCAGTACTACTACTACTACTATGTACAATGTATATGTACACAGTGTACAAAAGACCGTTACTCTGGCAGCCACTTCGCAACTTTTGTCCACCTTATTTTTTCGGGGTCGGGTGATGCCAATCTTCCCCAAACCGTTCCATTTCAACGTAGGGAGAAAAGTGACCTTCCAGTTTTTAACTTGTCCACTTTTGGACCACTCCGCCGTCGGCAAAGTAAAATCCAAATTTCTCCTAGCATAAAATTGGGTTTTATGAAAAGGGGTGGTGCTGCTTCAAAAATTCCAAAAATCTACTAGCAGAAAAAGAGAAAATGAGGTGGTCCACTTTTGGAGTATGACAGTAATTTTGCCTTTGGGAATTTAAAGTTTTTAGTTGTCCACTTTTGACGCGCCACGAGAGTTCTTAAAAGCAAAATCCAAATTTCTGCTAGCGGAAAATTATGTTTTTTGAAAATGCTATACGCAAAGTCCAAAATCCCGAAATTCTACTAGTAGGAAATGAGAAAATGTGATTGTCCACTTTTGACGCTCCACAATTGCTCATTACCTACCGTCCATCCGCCGCCGTCTGTCTCCATATCGCAGTACACATTAAATGAACATTCATGACCGGCAGGTTGGACCTTATACACACCACTGGTAGTAACGCCGTTTGCAAAGACGTCAGAGCAGTCCTTGGGAGGCGCGGGTGACATAAATGGAGATGTAGCAGGGATAACTGTAAATCACAAAGTTAATTAATAAAATTGGAATCACCATTTATTAAATGGACAGATTATTTAAAAAAAAATCCTCGGAAGAGAAACGCTATTTCAACTGCATTCGCACGTAGCAGCTTGTCAATTCCAGCTTACACACTCAAAAATCGCAGTTTCAACTTGTTTTTAAGCTTGTTTTTAACCTTGTTGTTTAAAAATGGTCCGTATTTAGTCTAATCCTTCGAAGTTTACACCAACCACTCAAAGTGTTATTACCCATTCACTCATCGTTCAAAAAGTCCCCCTCCCTTAAGTATAATCCCGTAAGATATACAGCAGCCAGGCTGAGGTGGCGAATTGTAATCACAGAAAATGGAATGCCACGACAAGCCCCTGTAAAACGTCCCACGCGGGAAATGATTGATTACACTGTCGGTGCCAGACAATCACTGAACTCCTTCAGATTTAGTGATAAACAGGGTAGCGCACCACATTTCTCTGTATTGGAAGAAAAAAATTGTTTCGGTCCGAGAATGATGGGTTTAGGCCTACGTGACTTTTGCAGCTCAGCCTAAGTGAATTAAAAAGTGAACCCCCACGAAGAAATTCTTCATATGAACATACTTACACGTGAGCGTTGAGGTATGTAAGAGTTAAATATGGGGTCAAGAGGTCAAATTTTCTGAAATGTGTAGTGCGCGCAGCTCTCCCCGGGGGCCTACAACCACCTTTGTATTGTTCCTTTTATCCACAAAGTCAACAATGGATATTAGTACGGAATCAAACGGCTGCAGATGTTGGGGGAAAGTGGAGCCATTCCATTCCCTTACCTGGAACACTTTTTGCGTGGGGAATAATGAGAAGAAACGATCGTCGGGATTTTGTCACGTCTCCCTTCCATACGCACGTGAAGGAGCCCGACCATTTCGCCTTAAAGCCAAAAGCCTTAATTTAAAAACATTTCTAAACAAAATCACCCACAAAATAACCCCCCGGTGCAAACAATTTTGTATCCGCCCATGACAATATCCCGAATCACGGAGTGTGTTTCCAGAAACATCAGACACCGTTCAATAGGATAATTCTGTTTGGGGTCCTGTGCACAGGAATTTTCTAAGAGACGCTTACCTCGCCTTCCTTTCCTTTCTTTCTGTCTCGCCCCTTCTTTTTACTTTTTTCAGTTTTTCACATTAGCCTGAGCAAGGACTTCTCCCATTACCCCTTTCTCAATGCCCATGCCCAGGGGGCTATAGAAAATGGCCCAGGGCAAGTTTGTGCGGAGTTGCATGTTTTTATTAGCAAATTGTTCGTAAAGAACCCTGACTACTTCATATGCAGCAAGGTATGAGACGGAGAGAACCCCCCCCCTGCTTTGTGTTGGTCATTGTCTCGCAGGAATCTGGGGAATTCCTTTCAGACATCTTGGGGGGATGTGTTAAGTAAAAACAGTCTGGAATGTGTATAGGGATTGGACATGTTGGGGGGGTACCCCTCGGTCTCATTTCTTGCTGGGTATAGACTACTTGTAACAGTTGCATGCAAAACTATAGTGAACCACAAACTTGCCTGTGGCGTTTTTCAGGAGTTCAGCAAGCTCACTGACGGATTCCTTTATCTTTTCTAGCTGTAGTTTGACGTAAGTCAACTCTGTAGATAGTGTCATGACATCTGATTTGCTAGCAATGTGTGTTTCCAGCTGAGCCAGTCGACGAGTCGTATTCTGTAACTCACCGGAGACAATTTCTTGGATTGTGGAGTAGTTACAAACAGTCCCGGAGCACGAGAGACCATCCAGCGGGTTGATAATGATATGCTGCTCGTAGACGGTTTGAGCTCCACTGCCACGGATGGGATCATTGCCCACCGTGCTGTCAGTGAAAACCCCGCACACGATGAATGCCAGAAAGGCAATCAGCTGAACCCAAGCCATATTAGAGGTAACTTTGAACTTAGACTGGGCTCGTAGTGGGTAGTTGTTCAGGATTTGTTTTATTCACCGTGAACGTCTGTTTATCGCACACTCTATACAAAAAGACTGCACGTGTAAGACTTCAGTGTTATACGTGACAAGATTGCGTTTGCAACAGACAGTCTGCGCTCGTTGCCCAGCGCCCGAACTGGGAGCTGGGAAGGGTTGCTGACCTTGGAAAGATTTCTGGCGAAGGAAATACATCAAGAAGGGTCACAGCTAACGACGCGCAAAGCATTGTGGGTACATTTCTGCCAAACGAGCGAGCTCACTCAATGCGTTACACAACCGCTGGCTAGACATTTTTTTCTTTTTCTGCTTGATTGCGGAATATATTCCATCCGCACTTTATTCCTTCATCCAAACCTGATCAATATAACCAATAATTTGAATATCGCCGATAGACACTTGAGAAGTGATAATTAAAAGTAGACTAATTACCACATGTGATTGTACCAAGGCCATGTTTTATCGCGCAGCCCACACTACCAGTGCCATAGCTTTGCCAGAATTAAGAGATAATCTCAGGGTCACAGGTCGTGCACAGTGTAGCCAATCACACTGCAAAGCCATCAGCCGTTCCCAGCTCCCTGATTGGACGCTGGGCGACGAGCGAACACTGGCAGACAGTCGACACAATTTGTTGATAACCCTTCATGGAAGAAGTAGAAAACATACCGCTTCTAGACCAGAGATATAAAACCTCTTTCATGAACATTGCTGAGCTGTCTGCACAGGGAACAGAAAGAGAGAAATCTTAAACCTCAGTACTGCTTGTTTGGGAATAGGAAGGGAATTCCCCTTTCCCTCCTTTGTTCGGTGCAGTTGCTCTAAATGACAACACGTACACGTGTCTTGGTCTATTCCCTAAAAAAAAAAAAAATAAGCTTAACGCCCTAAAAGTCTCTGGTTGCTGGTCAGCGCGCGCGTCGCCGTAGACCTGAGTGTCTGCAAAAAAGTTTGTATTTGATATACTACGATGCCCCAAAGCAGCCAAACTTGCTTGATCGACTGGAGCCCTGCTAATGCGTAATTGAAACGTGTTTTAGATGGGTTTACAGTTGAGTAGTATGTACAGTAGGGGAGTCCTTCTAGGCCCCGTACATTCAGTTGGGCACTCTTTTTCTGATGACGCCATTTCTTTATCGTACATTTAGCTCTCTGAACTGGACAGAAGAGGTGGTCTTATGTATCATTTACATCTAGAGGCTGAAAACGATTTTAGACAGTTAATAGTGAGGCGGCCAGTCTACGACAGTATGAGCATGCGCGGTACGTACGCATGTAGTCACGATCGATGGACATTGCGGGTTTTACGTACATCATATTTAGAAAAAAAGTCGCTGTACCACATTTGAAGCCAGCCCCTGACCACAAACCCTAACCTTTGGGGGGGGCTAAAGGAATAGGTTTTCATATAACCCAACAAAATTATGCACGTCTCGGTCTGTACTCTCGATTAAAAATAATATGTTTTGATTTATTGAACTGAAATAAAATTACTTAAAGGACAGCGGCGTATCTTGCTTCTGGTGAGGGCAAATTCAAAAGCGAATGCAGCGTTGGGCTCATTCAACATGATATTTGGGAGAAAAGATATTCAAAGCCTATTTATTAGATGAATAAATATACCGAGTACTTTATTTCCCACTCACATGTGAAGTATTCTTAGTTGAAAAAAAAAGCCGGGGAGGGGGGGATTTGCCTATACCTCCCCCGGTGGATACGCCATTGTGAAAGGAGCCACATATTCATGCAGCAATTATACCGAATGACGATACTTAATCATGATTGCCAAACTTTGGATTCGAATTTGGTGGTAATTTAGATTTTGCGGCTGAAATCATACGAGGAAGGTGCAAAACCAAGCTAACATGGAAACGAAACATATAAGATACATCTTTTTTCGAGAGGTCGGTTCAAATTTCAAACAAGTTTTTGCTGAATATGGGGAGATCAGTAAACAAAAATTCAGGGACGACGTGTTGACAGAATCTCAGATTATGATTAGTGAAGACACGCCTTTATTTAGTTGTTCTGTCGTATCAAATAGGTTTTGTAGGAGATTGCTTGCTTTCAGCGCGTACTTGCAGGCTCAACTATCGTATACAATACGGGCGATTCACAAAAGTGCCCCTCCAAGAGTGTGCAACGTGTTGGCCAATCACAATGCGCGAAATCTGCCGACCCTTTCCAAACGCGCATTGGGTCGCCAGATTTCAAATTGATCACAAGTGTGGTAATTTATTTTTCAACGATAATCATCAGTAAATCATTTTACGGCTATTTATATCAAATCAGTGGTCATTGTGTTAAATTTGAGATGATGAACAATTTATGGTGAACTTCTTTTCGGTTACAAAGAGGAAAAGGCAAAATATGCGGTCGGCTTCTGCTTAATTGTGCATTGAGTGAGCATCGTTTCCTCACTTACAAAGCTCCGGCAGGATTCTGCCTGATTCATTACCCGCTACCGGCCCCTACGTTCGGAGGACATCTGTAACACATTTTGAAACTACGTAAGGGACAGGAACCAGTCTAAAACCTGACTCCCCTTTTCTTATGAAGAAATTGAGAAATACGTGGCAGGCTTTTGGGTCGAAAGTATAGAGGGATCCCAATGCGACGCTTTTAGCGTCGATCTGCGCACTTCCGCGTTTGAAAACGAGGCTGTATGTGTCAGCTTCAATTCTTAATACGATCAGACGATTGAAAGTAAGGAGTCAAGACACAAAATACATAAAGGTATGTTAAATTCACACTTTTCAAGCTGTAAATTTTTGTTGAAGAGTCTTTCAGAATGACTCGACACGTGAAATCAAAAGAAAAAACAATGGCAATTTACCGCGAATAACGTACCTGCGATGGCCGTGTATCTTGTGAAGTGGGCGTGGTTTAAACTGAAGTGGTATCACACTTACGAACCGGTTACTGCATATACTGTATCGACTCCGCGGGCGCGCGACGAAGTTCAACACAGAGACTCTCGGTTTCGATGCGGAGAGGGCGCTAATGTGAAATCCATCTTACTTTTTCGTGTCAGGAGGTTAAATTTAATCTGGAACCGATTTGCATTTTCTTTTTACTGTAGACTTTGCATTTATGCTCTCTTCTTTCAGTGTAAAATGATTTTTTGACCTTTGTGATGTTTTAACTCATTTTTGTTTTGAGCTTTCCCCTGGGTGAAAGTGCCGAGTGAAGTAAAACGGTTTGTGATAGCAGCTTGCAAATATATCTCTTTTGCATGTCCAGAAAAGAACCTTAGGGTACTCCGTGTTTCAGACAGTGTGCTGTGTCCGTCGTCAGGAGACTGCAGAGATTCCAGCGATGAAGTAGCTTTTAATGGTGTCTGCAGGCGGTGGGGTTTCAAAAGTATGCCAACTCAGAATTCATCCAAGGACACTCAGGCAGAGCGTGAGATGCTAGATGGTCAGTAAGGTGTTTCCGTTTGAAGGAGGGGAGCGCGAGAGAGTGTTGTAAAGGGTACAGGAGACCCTTTGGACTGGGATGTGAGTGTGGGGCGCCTGATGTTGATGTTCTTGAAACCAGTGTCTTGAGGAACCGTGTTATGCTTAAAGTGCAAAGGAAAAAAGGCTTCAGATATTTCGACATCTTGGTTCTGGAGGTAGATTGGCCACCCCAAAACCAATATACCATGAATGTATCCTCCGAAAATCAACACGAGAGAAATAAGCAAAAACATTTCTTTCCACAACCAACTGGGTCGATTTTGGAAACATGCGAGGTCAAATGTTGTGTTTATGTTGGGTTGATGACGTAACAGGGAGAGAGGCACAACAGGCATGTAAGAGGCATGCATGAAGACACATGTAAACTGGCATTGTTGAGGCCTAAATACAGTGAAACGACGAGTTTTGATGACGTGCAGAAAATGCACAATATTATACTTTAGTATCTTAGATTTGGAACTTAAAGTCTTACTCTTAGCCGGTCAAAATAATTGTGAGATTAATAAAATAATGACGTCAGTTTACGTCATCACGTGATTTATGTTTGAATTTTGAATATTCAATTTTTCTCCATAGGTTTTGTACACTTTTTTCTACTACATTATCGATCTTAATGAGAGTAGTCCTGAACTTTGGCTGAGGATTACTATGAGAATGAAAGAGGAATCGTGTTTTTGCGTCTTTGTTTGATTACAAATATACGCAAGAGTCCAATTATCAATGTTTCATATATTTTTTTTTCAATATATACGCAAATCACGTTACATGACTTTAAAGCTGCAGTTTTTCTCCGTAGGTTTTGTACACGTTTTCTGAAGTCAAAGACTGGTGGACTCATACGTCTGAGTGACTTTGTATTGGGAGCATACATAGTCCATCAACCCTAGGGGTTGCCAAATAAGTTCGTCACGCTGACATCATCAGGGATCACGTGACATGATATTAAAGTATTATTCAAAACTTACGGAGAAAGACTTCGTTTTTTCAGTTGTTTGCCTGGGGATTACTATGAGAATTTCAGACAAGTCAGAGGAAACTTTCCCTTACAAAAATGATGAAGCTGAAAAATGAAAAACTCCGAAACAAACTCTGTTTGTCCACGAACACGTCTTGTTTTAACTCTGTCGTAATATATTGTTATAAAATTTCCTAAGATGGATAGCCCACGCTTGAAAATGAAACATACTATTGAATTAAGGCCAGAATTTCCGTAGGAAGATTTTTAAGGGATACAGAGATTTCCTTCTCTACGATGCCAAATATGTCAGTGGCAATTAAATCCTTAAATGTTTCAAATATCGATGGACAATGTAAACGAACTGAACTTTGACGTTTAGGAATCGGGTACATAATGTTTAGTTTTTTGTGTGTTTATTATATTTAAATGTTTCAAATATCGAGGGACAGTGTGAATGAACTGAACTTTGACGTTTAGGAATCGGGTACATAATGTTTAGTTTTTTGTGTGTTTATTAAAATGAAGTAAATGAGTAGTTGACGGAGACCTTCTGGAACACTTTGACTATTTCTAAAGAAAGAAATATGAAAAGATCACATGTAACTTATACAAATGAGGGTAGGGTATAAAATCTGGAACACTTTGACCTTTTGTATGGTTAGAAATAAATACGAATTAGGATAGGGTAAAAAGTCTAGTTCAGTTTGACCTTGAATCTAGAAAAAGAGAAGGTCATGTAGCCGTTCATATTCATATGGTATATCTGACCTTTTCATATTTCTTTAGAAAAGGTCCAAGTGTTCCAAAAGTCCCCCTCAACTACTAATAGGCCTATGCGTTAAACTGCGGACGAAAGTTTGTAAAGAAGAGTATGTGATAGTCCATTAGTATAAGCCCAAAAGAGAACAAACAAATTTCCTTACCATCACTTCACTCTCCTTTCTTACACGGTTGAGAGAGAACGATGGAAATAATGAAAAAAAAAATAATGCTTGCCAAAAGGCATGGGGACCCGGTAGAAAAGGAGCCCCTTTTGCATGAAACAATCATTTCCTGTGACCATTTATGCCTGAAAATGCGTTAAGACACAATCAAAAATGATTTTAAAAGATCCCGAAAAATATCGAAAGATGCGGAGATGGCATCACCCGCTTTTACGATTTTAAAAATAAATTGCGTGAGTTGAAAGAAGACATCTACTACTTATTCTTATCATTAACATTTCAATCATAAATGAAAATTCCGCAAAATTACTGGTGTTTTGACAAAAGCTATAGGCGGCAAACAACTAATTGCTGAAACCTAATTACCCGTGACCTTCATTTTCATCTCAGTACGTTTCAGTGAGTAGTAATACCCTCTCCAGTCTCTCCAAATTACGCCCTTGGCGTAGACATCCGTCTGTCCACCGAGATACTGGCCGTTCAGATTGGAGGAGTGACAGTCTGCGTACCACCAAGCACCAGAGTAAGCTATAGCACAGTTAGAATCGATCGAGTCATTGTCGCTGTCTCTGGTGGTGAAAGGAAGGTTACTGTGCCGGGACAGTGAATCACCTGCACAAAATCGGTTGGATAACGATCTGCATTGGTCAATGGGAAACGGTACAGTCTTTTCAAGTCCAAATAGTGAGGCTTATTTTCATGGTTTATTGAATATGCTGATGTTGTTCGTCTCAATCTACGTTCATACACTCGACTGCTGTTGGAGAAATAATTCCTAAACCCGAGAGATTAAAAAAGGGGGTCATTTCATTCCTTTTCTATTTAAAATTTTGGAGCTGCACATCACTCTGCACACAATCGTGGGTTTGTTTTTTCCAACACAACGATTCTGAACTTCAATAGCACTTAATAGAAGGAGATGAGGGTAGCTTTCTTTGCTATTTCTCTCCACATGGGTAACCTCTCTTTTTGCACACTGCAGTCTGGGAGATATCATAGCAAAAACTTACCAGCTGTTCCCGAATACCCCACCACCATCAACCGGTAGTTGTCACTCGCATCAGCAACACGAAACCTGTTGTACTCAGCATAAGCAATGTTGCCTTCGAAGTCCTCGAAATCGATGCGCAGTCGGTACACGCCCTGAGCGGTGAGTCGGTGCAGGTTGTCATTGCCGAGCCAAAACTCGCCGTTCAGATCACCGAACCCCTGGCGGTAGCTCTCCCAGTCACGGTAGAAGTCAACTGAGCCGTCTTGACGCCGCTGGAACACCTTCGAATAAAGCATAAAATATCAGCATCTCAGTATTGTTTGTTTTGTTGTGATTTTGTCTGATCGTTTCTTCGTTTGAGTTTAATGTTTCTTGATCAAATGGTTTCTTCTAATCATAGAGAAATAGGCCTTAAATTTAAAAGATACTGCTATCGGCTTTGCTATTCATTTGTCGTTGTCGATTTTTCCTCGTGCATATAAGCCAATAATCCAGATCTTTATACACAGCTGAAAAATCTCTTCAAATACAAATATAGGCAGAAAGAAGCACACATAGACATCCGCTGCACCTGATGAACTATGCCTTTCAGATTGTGGCGAACAGAGCACTTTGGGCTTGCTTTGCAGGTTCTAGGTATTACACTGGGGCTACGTTGAGACGGTAAAACAGCATGTCCCCAGTGATAAAGTATGTCCTTTAACTTGCTGGCAAAATTTTACACCACAGGATTACGTGGATTTATCTCAGTATACTTAAGTCAAACTTCACTATAGACGGTTGACCTATTTAATAGTAATAATAAAAAAGTAAATCGTAATTAGTAATGCAAAATATTAATGTAATAATAAAAATGTAACAAATTTAATAAATCAATAGCTAAGATATCAATTACGTATTCGTTAATAAAAACGTTTGTTATATCTTCGTCCAAAAATGGAGTTTTGGATTTTCATACTTTTGCAATTTAGGATTTTCATACTTTTGCAATTTAGGATTTTCATACTGTTGCAATTTAGGATTTTCATACGGTTGCAATTTAGGATTTTCATACGGTTGCAATTTAGGATTTTCATACGGTTGCAATTTAGGATTTTCATAGTGTTGCAATTTAGGATTTTCATAGTGTTGCAATTTAGGATTTTCATACTGTTGCAATTTAGGATTTTCATAGTGTTGCAATTTAGGATGTTCATACGGTTGCAATTTAGGATGTTCATACTGTTGCAATTTAGGATTTTCATACGTGTTGCAATTTAGGATTTTCATAGTGTTGCAATTTAGGATTTTCATAGTGTTGCAATTTAGGATTTTCATACGGTTGCAATTTAGGATTTTCATACTGTTGCAATTTAGGATTTTCATACGGTTGCAATTTAGGATTTTCATACTGTTGCAATTTAGGATTTTCATACGGTTGCAATTTAGGATTTTCATAGTGTTGCAATTTAGGATTTTCATACTGTTGCAATTTAGGATTTTCATACGGTTGCAATTTAGGATTTTCATACGGTTGCAATTTAGGATTTTCATACGGTTGCAATTTAGGATGTTCATACGGTTGCAATTTAGGATTTTCATACGGTTGCAATTTAGGATTTTCATACGGT